AACTTCTTTGCTAATTGTCTTTTTATGAGCTTCCATTTTACTCAAAGACATCTGGGGAATGCTATATCGCGTTCAATATTTTCTTTTTTTTCTGTCAGTGTAGGGGGTGTTGGGGGGGGGGCAGAATGTGCGCATTCCTGCGTGCCCTGCCAGCGCTCACATGGTTACCGCTGCTCGCATTGTTAGAGAAATCTGAATGAGCACTGGCCGTGCAAGTTTTAACGTGATTGCCCGAGGGGCAGCAGAGTGAAAGAGCGAGGAACAGAGCCAGAGAAGAGGGGAGGAGGGGGAGGGGGGGCATAATCCTAAAAGGATTGGAAGTTACCCCCCCACTACCACCACACACACAAACGAACACACACACCTCTGTGTTTCAGGGCTGATGAGTATTGGATGAGGTCAGTTGGTTTGGTGTCTGATTTCTCCCTCCTCTCTTTCCTTCATTGTTTGCCTTCTTAATTAGGGGGGCGGGGCTTCGGGGCTGTGATTGACAGCTACATACTGCTCTGTGTCAGGACTCTGCTGTGTGTACTGTACTTGACACTGAATGACAAGTTGTTTCTCATTTCCTGTCTCTGCTGCAGCTCTTTAGGTGTCGTCAGTCAGAGCGACTGTTACAGCTGATCAGTTTCTCAAAACAACACAGAGCGATCATTCTCCAATGACAGCCTTTCTTACTGCTTGCTAATCTTTAAATCCAGCTTTTGATCTACAGTTAAAACCAAAACAGTTTAAATGACCTTGCAGCTATTTTAGTCTTATATCCAATCCTAATGTTTTGGTTTATATCTCAATTAATAAAATACATTTTAATTTTTTTTAAAACAAAGACACAACAACCAAAACTGTATATCTTTACTGCTGGTGGTTTTGATGCATCTCAGTTTTAAACTATAGTAGTAGAGTCTAATTTCCCTGATACAGAGTTAATTATTCACACCATATGATAGGGAGATAAACTTGATAAGTGCAGATTTACTGTTGTTGCACCACATAACATTATCAAACATGTTCCACTCAAACTTCTTTATCAGGTGAGTGAGCTGCTGTTATCTTGTGTTCTCTGAGTTGACTTCATCATCACTTACACTTTGAATGGAGGAAGAGTGGGTCAAGAGACTGCACAGGGCAGAGTGAGGGAGAAAGAAAGAGAGTTCACTGTCAGGCTGTGAGAAGTCTCTTCATACCTGCAGGTCTGCAGCTGCTTCAGCACATCATTTCAAGTATAATACTGGTACACAGCTTATACTGTGTGTGTGTGTGTGTGTGTGTGTGTGTGTGTGTGTGTGTGTGTGTGCGTGCGTGTGCGTGTGTGCGTGCGTGTGCGCGTGTGCGCGTGTGCGTGTGTGCGTGTGTGTGTGTGTGCGTGTGTGTGTTTCTACATGTAGTATGTTTGCTGCTCCTCTTCTTTTCAAACAGTACTTTTATTTTGAATAATGTTTTTTATTGATTCATTTGAACTGCTTTACTCCTGTTTTGTTTAGATTATTATACAGTTTGGATGTGCAGTCAGGATCTAAAACTTTGATAACTGTATTTACAATGCTCTGTTGCTCATCAAATTTATATCTATATATTTAGAGATAAAAGAGAAGAGGAAAATGCTCTGTGTGCTTTACTTTTTTGTGTGCTTCAGCATTTGTGTGTGTGTGTGTGTGTGTGTGTGTGTGTGTGCTTTTTTAAATGCTTTAGTATGTTTTTTGAATGTTGTCAACCTGCCAGTGTAAAATTATATAAAATTAGCCTGTACGGCTAAATCTATAGCAAATGTACATGATGGATGTTTTGCTTTTTTATTTAATGATTGGGCATATTTTGTTTTTGAGTAAAACAAACACAGATATTAAAAACATGTCATGTGTGGGATTTTAATAAGTTGAACAATATTATAAATCATTCTAAATGTCTGTGACTTAAGAAGGTGGGGGAATACTTATTATAATTATATGTTCTGAAAAAAGCAACAGACAGTAGTATCACATGTCTATTAGTAAATTCTTCAACATGATTCACTCTTACTTTGAAAATATCTTTCACACTTGCAGTGGCAACAATACAGTTCAGCTTCTGCTTCTCCACATAAAAACATACTCGTAAAAAATAAACTACATTTACAGTAAACAAAAAAACCTGAACACAGAGAGGTTTTAATACACTTTTAAATAGATTTTTTCCCCCCCCAAGAATCAGCCATATTATCATTTGGATGATCGGCATTCAAACCAGGCTATATGTATTCCTTTGTATCTAATTAAATGTTATGTTGAGTAATGTTATATAGATCATTTTCTTTTATATATATTTTTGACCATACAGGTTTTTACCTCTTCCTATATTTATTCTATTTCCCTCATTGTTATTAAAATAAAATAACTTGACAATAAACTCTGATTCACCACAAGCTTTAGTGTCTCGTGTTGTTCTGGGTTAACGCTGAATTTAGAGATTATATTCCAACTACAGATGATCTAAAAAAGTGAACAACATTGTGTTTTCTCTATTTTTCTAAACTGACTTCTTTACAGTTATTGAAGTGTTACATAACAACATGCAGCTTTATTTCCATCTCCACATCACCATCCTGTCATCTCTAATGTCATACTCACACACAGCAAAAACCATTCATCATTTCACATGTTAGCATGAAAAGCAGCGGAGAGAATGAGGCCTTACACACACACACACACACACACACACACACACACACAATTTTTTTCTTTTTTTAACAGATTAACAAAGAACATACTTAAGAAAATAAAGTTGTTTCCATTTTAGTTTCTTCCCTAACATTTACTTTGTCACCTTCAACAGTCTTTAAAGGTGAGGCAAATATCTCCATATTCTTTGAGTCATTTATTTTTAAATTGTTTGTTTTTTAAACAGAGCTGCAAATCCACCAGCACACTTAAACAAAGTGTCTCAAGTTATCATCTGCAGGACATTTAAGCTCTTTACTTATAATCAAAAGTATTTCAAGCAACATTTTTCTGAAGATTATTATGTAACACAACCTGCTAGAAGAAATAGTTTTTCATTTTGACCTGAACTTCACCTCAGCCACGACGCCGACTTGTTCCTCACACATGTGTGACAGGTTTTACTTTTAAAAACAATAATGATTTAATCCACAAGCCTTCATAATAGCAAGGAGGTATTCAGTTTGAGTTTTTCTTACCTGAGAGTCTAAAGAAGAGCCAAATCTCTTCCTGATGTATCCAGATCACAGTTTTATCAGACAACAGAAGTGTGTTTAGTTTCTCCTGCTCTCTGTTTTCTCCTCTTTCTTCCTCACCTGCCTGCTGAGCTGTAGCCTACTTTCCCTCCAGCCTCTATCCAAAAAACTCAGCTGATTTAAAGGGCTTTTCTGCCCTGCTCTCTGTCTGCAGGCTCGGTTCTATGTTGGTTTTTTTTGGCTTTGGCATGCAGGGGGCTGACCAGAGCCCCCTGCATGCTCCTGACAACCTGAGATTTTATGCATCATGCTTTTAATAACTGCCGACAGAGGAGAAGGAAGCCTCGCTCCACACACACACACACACACACACACACACACACACACACACACACACACACACACACACACACACACACACACAGCTCTTAAGGCGGCCTGATCCCTGGATTTGCGGGTTTAGCATTAAGAAAATTCTCCTGAAATTTGGGATTAGAGGCAGACACCCTCACAACAACAATGACTGTGACCGTTTGATATCTTGATACTTGTGATCAATCGCTGGCTTTGTTGCTGGCAGCCACAGCAAATTTCTGAGGGCACAAAAAAAGACACAACAAACAAATTCCAACAGATTCATATTCGTTTCACTGCCATTTCTGCTTTTATTATCATGATCTTGTTTTCTTCAATAGGCCTAACTTAGTTTACATTGCTCTGCAGGTCTCCTGCATATGAATAAAAAAAATCTTTATTTATTTCTTCAATAGCCTACTATTATTGCCATATTTTATAGGCTTACTTACTATTTCACTATAAGCCTATTATTTATACGTAGCCTACATTTTCACATTGTAATTGTCCTAAAGATTTTTTTTTTTTTTTTTTAAATTTTTGGCTAAGTTTTAATTTTATAATAAATTGTCTTTTGAAAATTAACTTTAATATTTTTAATTAACAGCCACTTAATGTATTTTTTTTTAAAGGGCAAATTCTAACTTTTTATTTTATTCAGGCCATCACAGCAGCAGCTCGATTTCATTAGCTGCTCCTCGTTATTTTGTGTTACAGATTTTTGCTGCCAGGTTTGCTTTCATCAACATTTGTATTTATTTTCGTCTAACCTGAAACAGCTGGTTGAAGTTGTCAATGTCTTTCAGGGGCAATAATAACGCTCGTATTATTATCTGATGGGGGGGAATCCATCAAAATATAGGCCTATTTGAGCTGCTTTAAGTGAATAGAAAATTTTAGCTTTATGGCATGTTGGAAAAACTTCCCTTTGCCCATTGTTAACCAAATAACCTGACGGTAGCCATTATTAAAAAAGACCAGTACAGGCTCATGCCAGTTTCTTTGCAAAAAAATCTACATGTTTTGCAAACGGTTTTTTTGGTGGGGGAAATGTTTGGTTAGCCCATCGAAGAAGCAGATAGGCCTATAACTTTTCCATTTGTCTTCTTCATAAAGTCAAGACAAATATGAACTCGTTCTCCTTATTCTGAGCTTACCACTAATAAGCTACAGCACATTATTTAAACAAACAAATAATGAACCATCTTTCATGTGATTCTGTTCCTGACTAAAATGCCTAAATCATTTCTTGATTCTGTTCAAACTTCTCCGACACGGACCTTAGAGTCCCGTCACGTGGTTCGAAGGGGCGGATGTTTAGGCGCAGAGCTCGCTGCCTGATTGGCCCTTTGTATCGCAGACGAGGCCACAGACCGTTTCGATTGGCTCCGAGGACGCAGACCCCGCATGCCTCCTTGACTCATAGAGGCTCGGGCCCCGGAGACTCGCATCAATCTCCATCCGTCAAGGAGAGCAGGAGCGTGGAAGACGCAAAACACGGTTAATTTTGAACGATTTAGGTTTTATTGAAATGTCAGATTTGTAGTCCTGACAGAGGACGTATCTGCACGCGAAGCTGATGAACCTGATTTACTTTTTGACAGAAAACTTCAAACTTTTCTCCATGTGGATATTTCTAAACTCTGGATCTCACTGGTTTGACAGTTAACAGGATTGCATTTGGAAAAGGAACCTGAAGAAGGTGAGACTACCTGTGTGTATTAAATAGGCTATTTGTCAGGTTTATTAAACCTTAATGTCTGTATAAAACTGGTGTTTTCAGCTGTACTGACATTAATGAAATAATAGGCTATAAGAGCATCATTGTTTTCACCTTAGACTAGGCTATATCTTCAACTTGGCTGCATGCCTGCTTTTTAATTCTGAGAATATTTGAATTTCCAAAAACGGAGGCTGCGATCTTATTATTGCAGACGAATAATTAGCCTTGTGTTCTTATAAAAGATGTTGGAATTCTAAATTACATGTCATGACCTGCAACTTAATAATGTAGCCTATTCCTTTGTTAGATGAGAAAACCAAATGGTCCTTCAGGTTTGTAACATTTAGTTGAAAACAGATACATTTTTCCCCAAGCAGGCTACAAAATGTGTGTAGGCTTTAATTTTTTTTAATTAGCCGGACTTTATCTCTACCTGTGTTTGTTTCCTCCCCGGCTCCGCTCGGCCCGCAGCCTCCTCTCCCTCTGTGCTGCTGATAACAGTCCCTCTGCTAATTGTCGACCTGTAGATCTAATCTAAATTGTAATGGCGCTGATTTGCACACAGTTTGGAAGCATTTACATTGCGTGATTGGGCTCCTTCCTGCGGTTATGGAAATAAGAAGATCTTTATTGAAAGGGTTAACGCCTCAGCTGCAGATCCAGCAGGAGGCCCGCGGACCTTTTCAGCCGACAACAAGCTGCTGTTAGTCCCAAATGTGAGCATTTACCTGCTAAAAGGACCCAGTGGATTATGGAAATTCTTATCTAAATACATTGTCTTACACTTAACACATTGTGTTACACTAATACTAACAGTTAACAATTACAGCCGGTGATTATGGCTGCTGACGGTGCTGCAGCTGTGCGGGGAAAAGAGTTGCAGCAAAGTTACAAGGGCTTTATATCACCCGAGATGAATGATTTCTTTCTTTATTTAAATTTGATTTATGTGAATTTTAGTGTTTGACGTTGCCTTCATCCTCGTTGCACACGTTGATATAAACACAACTAGGCCACTGACTTGAGCATAAACATTATTTACACATGTGATTGCCAAGCTTTCTTTGCGTCAAAACTAAATCATTATTTCACATGAAGTCCCCAGAAGCTGCAACACATCTAAAAGAAATTATAAACGAAACATATAGGCCTACATTATTTTCAGCAACGTGGCAAAAAGTAATTTAAAAGTCAGCATATTTAAATAACACCAATGTTTTAATTCTTAAAAAAACAAAGAAGACAAAGACGTTCACAATTATTGTAAGTGTAGCCTTACACACCAAAAAGTCACACTAAAAGAAAATAAAAGACAGGAAATAAGAAACTAAAGCCAGGAGTAAAAAAAAAAAAATCCAGATGAAAAATAATCATGCCATAATATTAAATTATTGTCAGTTATCTTTAATTTGTCCTCTCACAGATATCACTGTCTGTATGAATAAATAAATAGTCTATATTTATGAAGTTCCTACAGAGATATGTGAGGTGAGACCAGCCTGAGTGTTTTGTAATTTAAAAGTGCAGCATCTCCACAGGTCGATTAAAGTGTGAGCTATTGACTGATTTAAAACATAGTGAATATGTGAGAGATAAGAGTGTGTTAGAGGAAACATCTGAAGAAAAAGTCACTCCAGAGCTCCTATCAATAGTCTACCTGTTTGACGATCGGTTTGGTTATTTTTATAGCCTATTCTATTTTTCTCCGGAGATCAGACTGAACCCTTTGACATTTTCCCCTCTTTAATGAAGTCTTTACTGTAGCCCACTCTGGTGCTGTCTGTACTGACTGACAGCGGAGTGATGTTATGTGAGGGCCTGTTCCTCAAACTGAACTTCTTTTTTTTTCCTTTAAAGGAATTTACAGGAAAGTTCCCATCCTGGTGCGCAATAACATCAACACAAGAATGAGGAATAATGTCCTCGGATGGTTGCCATGGGGTTAAATCTGAGGCTAAGTAGCCTAACTATAATCGATCAAAAAAATTCAAACGTTTTCTTGATCTGGATTCAATCAAAAGGCCGCACTCTCTAACCTTTACGGTCGACGGCCTTATTAGGCTGAACACCTTGGCTTTACTTTATTAACATCTGCTACACATTAATACTTAAAAGTAGTCTTAACAATAACAAAGTATGCATGTGAAAAATACAACCTTGATAATAGAAAAGAAGAAAGAAATCCTGAAGAACAGAAAGACTAAATCAAAATAGATGAATCACTCAATGAATAAACTTTTTCTTGCCATCATGTTGAGGCAAGTGTTCGTTAGTCTTGAGGTGTGAGCGCTTGGTGAAATAAATGGTGTGTGTAATTTATCTGAAAGGCCTTTGTTTGAATAAAAAGAGCCTTAAATGAGATGTAAGCTTGAAGAGACAGTTTCAAGACAGTTCGTGAAAAAGTCACAGAAGTGAAAACTCTCTCTTATTGAGTGGTACTCGTGGACACGTAGGCTATTTCTTTTATTTTCGTGTCACTAAGCACGCACGAAAGGGTAACTTCTGTAGGCCCAGGGCTTTGTAAAGTGGGAATAAAGGAAAGACTGACCATTTCAAAGTGTGAATTCGTGGCTAGTGATGCTTACACCATTATATAGCCTATTTGTTAGTTGTCAAAGGGCGCGTCATCGTGTAGTATTTCCAGCAGACAAAAAAAAAACATCATCCTAAATAACTTTACTTCTCTCTTCCTTAGGTGCTGATCTAAAACACCGGGGACCTGAGCACCTTGCACCGGGAGAGCTGCTCGTTTCTGTCCGTCCAGACTCCGGTCTCCGTCTCCGAGCTCAGCATGATGTCTTATTTGAAACAGGGCCCGTACGGGATGAACGGACTGGGCCTTAGCGGAGCCGCCATGGACCTGCTGCACCCGTCTGTGGGATACCCGGGTACGGAGACAGTCGAGGTTTTATTAGAACTAAACCGCCAAATGGTTTCAATACAGGCTGCAACTTCAGTCACCGTGGTGTTGCTTTATTTGAGATAATACGGCTATTCTTTTATGGTATCCCAGAATTATGCTATTTCTCCTTCTATCGACCTAATTTATCTACTGGAATATCTTCATTAAATAGAACCTTTTGACTTTTATGTCGTTAGTGCTACAGTCTAATGAGCCAAACGAAGACGGTTATACGTCGATCTTATTTCAGATACTTTTACGCATTCTTAGTTGATCAACGCTTGAAGTCTGCTTGCTAAAACATATATCATATCTAATTCAATCGATCTTACTGAAGTGATTTGTATTTGCTGGAAGATGTAGGAAAACTTCTGCGTGTAAAAAATGAATAATCACTTAAGTTAAAAAAAAAGGAACAAAAAAGTAGCCTATGTGAAAGCACTTACGCACAACATATCCGAGCGCATGACCACTCACTTTAGATTGAGAAACGTTTGGATAGATTTTAAAGTGATACTAAAGTACCCTTAAATTAACTTCTTCTTTTTTTTGTTTTTTTACCTTCAGGTAACCCCCGGAAGCAGCGTCGAGAGCGCACCACCTTTACGCGCACTCAGCTGGACATTCTGGAGTCTCTGTTCGCCAAGACGCGCTATCCGGACATCTTCATGAGGGAGGAGGTGGCGCTGAAGATCAACCTGCCCGAGTCCCGAGTGCAGGTCAGCTCTCATCAAGGCTCTTATTAATTAGGCTAAATGTGTGCTTTATCAAGACTTTAAACTGTTTAAAGACAGATAGAGATATTTATTTTTAAATAGTACCAAAATCTTCAAAATAATACCGTTTTATTCACTCACAGTTGACACAAACGTTTTCTAGCCATACACTGAGGAAAAAGTTTACTAACCAGAGTTGCATAAATCCTATTCTGTATATTCAGCCACTATGCATTGATATCTTCTCACCAGACCATTGAAACATGAACTCTACTGCAGCTAAATGAGTCCCCATCCAACTTAAACGTTGTGAAAGAAGAATTAAGTGCTGGTTTCTCAAAGTTTGATCTGCAGATCATTTTTCACATATTGTTGTGCCTGCACTGAGTGTGTAAAAACTTTTGCAAGAAGTGAAACTAAGAAATAAAAATGACAAAAAGGAAGTGCTGGATAGTCCAGAAATCCAGATAGAACAGAGTGATTAACTTTCCTCAAAGCTAATAGTTTCTAATTGCTGCTAAAGTTTTTTTCTTGGACTTTCAGTTTCTCACCTCGGGCCTCTGCTCGATTAGGCCCTGTGTTAGAGGAAAAGTTGAGCTATTATCATTGATCGAGTAGAGACAGGTCTTTAATCAGAGGGAGATTTGGCTGGGCCGTGGCAAAGTGCAGCAGCAGTGTTTGATGTGGTGAATTTCTTTAGAAAAGGCTCTGAGAGGTTTTCTAGCCCGTCTTTGTGAGCTTCTGCTCGGCTTAAAGCTGCAATTATGGCCTCTGCTTCTCTGCTTTCTGCTGACAGGCGGCTTTAACACCACACTGTTTTTTTCCAGGCCCTGATATGAGCTTTGTCTTGACATTACTGAGTATTACTAACTATTTCTTTGGAGGCTGTAAAAGTGACAACTCTTAATTATAGAAAATATTTGACAGTTCCTAAAAATTTACACTCTTCAACATGTCTTGACTTCAGGTCACCTATATTAACGCATTTACATCAACCTTTGGTTTAATAAATGAACACATTTCAATACATTTATTTAAAGTTTAATATCAACATTAAGTCCTTAACTCATTTACATTATTGTCCCTGATGTTTTAACTTCCCCCTAAAATATAAATATAGCTACAATTATCCAGCTCTGATCAAATACATATAATAAATGGGAAATATTAATATGTAACAGACAGACATCTCATAATTGTTCTAAAGAGCAGACAAGGTAAAAAGTTTACAAAACACAAAGTCATTTGTAGTTTAGTTATGGATGAAACTTTAGCTTTTAACTTTATTTCTAAAAACAAACCACATTTAACATTTTCATCGGAATATTGGAATATTTGATGTTACACACGAGTGAAAAAACATGAGAATGTGAGAAAGTTCTGAACTGAAAACAACAAAAACTATTTATTTAGACCGAACAATCTTGTCATGTTACCTACACTTGAATAACTCTGTCTTACATTAGCCTATATGTTATAAACTGGGTCACACATAAACAAGAAAAAAGAAAGGATTTATACTTCTCATTTTAGGGAAGTTACATTTAATACCTAAATATTTTTCAAGACCCCACATTTTAAAGGTGCAGTCTCATCTTAAAATGTTGGATCGTATTTGTACAATTTAGAGTGAGTGCAGGTGTAAGCAGGCAATTTTTGATAATTAAAAACAGGAAATTGTCCAATCAAAGCGTAGGAATTCTATTTTTGTTGCAGCCTTAATTAAACAGAGAATCAAGTTTAGAAATCTGGCATAGTGACAACCCTAGTTTTAGGATATCGTGCAAAAATGTTCTGGAAATCAGTTTGTGCTGCTTGTATCTCTGTTTCCCTTGAGATGAATGATGGCTGCATTTATCAGTGCTTGTATTTTTGGTTCTAATTGTCTACATTTTGAAGTGTCTGCCTTTAATTCTTTAACAGAGATGAAGTTTTGAAACTAGTGAAAAAATAGTAAACAGCATTTGTTCAATCAAAATTAAATTCACAGCAGTTGTGTTGAGGTCAAGCTTAAACAAATCAAACCAAAATTATCTTCATGGTTAAATTGTTCTAAGGACATTTGTTAAATATTTGGGAAAATGTATCTTTGAAATTTGGAAATCATCTGAATTTCCCAAAGAAACACAGATTTACAGATTCTTCATATTAGTCTCTAGTTATCTGGTACTGTGATCATCTAACAGACGGGAAGGGGAATGAATATTGAGTAATTTAGGTATAAAATGTTGCCACTTTAATTGAGCAGTTAGACATTGCTCTCTCCCTTTAGCAGCTTTTGGTTAAAAAAAACATGACTGAAGATCTGTAGTTTTTAATGGCTTCAGTACTTTTCAATACTAGATCGTTAAAATAATGGAGATTTTATGGGTTTAATGCATTTAGTATCAAATAGTATCAAAGTATACTTTTAGTAGAATCTTAGCAGACTCTTTCAGACCTCCTGCAGTGAACGTCTAAGCCTCAGCACTCAGTAGCATCATGTGAGAGAAAATGTGTGAAGAAATACTCAGCAGAAACATCTTTAGTTCCAGCTTGCTCAGGGTTTTTCTGACCTGTGTGTGATGTTCCCCTCCATAGGTCTGGTTTAAGAACAGACGAGCAAAGTGTCGCCAGCAGCAGCAGCAGAGCAATAGCAGCACCAAGGTGAAACCCATGAAGAAAAAGTCGTCTCCGACCAGGGAGAGCACCGGGTCTGAGAGTAGCGGTCAGTTCACCCCGCCCGCTGTGTCTAGCTCCTCTTCCTCCACCACCTCGTCTTCATCCTCCTCATCGTCCTCCGCTATCTCCTCTGGCCTTAGTGGTCCTGGTCTGATGAGCACCTCCTCCTCCGTCACCGCCCCTGTGTCATCCATCTGGAGCCCGGCGCCCATCTCCCCGACCCCTGCTCAACCCACACTCCCTGACCCCGCTGCCCCCACCAGCGCCTCCTGCATGCAGCGCTCCATGTCCTCCTCTGGCACTGGGGGGACGCCCTCATACCCGGTGTCCTACAGCCAGACAGCAGCAGCTTACAGCCAGGGTTACCCCACTTCAGCGTCGGGCTCTTACTTTGGTGGCATGGAGTGCGGCTCATACCTGGCACCTATGCACTCCCACCACCACCCGCATCAACTCAGCCCCATGACTGGTAGCTCCATGTCAGGACACCCGCACCACCACATCGCACAAACGTCAGGGCACCACCACCACCACCACCACCCAACGCATCACCACCAGGCGTACAGCGCACCGGGCCTCGCCTTCAACTCCTCAGACTGTCTGGATTACAAAGAGCAGACGGCGGCGTCGGCATGGAAACTCAACTTTAATACCTCCGACTGTTTGGACTACAAAGACCAGGCCTCATGGCGCTTCCAAGTGCTGTGATTTCCTGTTTCTCTTCTTCTCTGCTTACAAAGAAGTCTTCTCTTTTTGTTGGTGGTTTATTTTTTGAAGATCCGTAAAACTAATAGTAGAGACATTTTAAGAACGTTTTTTTATTTGTGAACAAGCTGAAACGACACACAGAGCTCGACTTGGACTCCAGGATTATTTTTCTACTCCAGAACTTTCCAGAAACTGACTCATTTTCACCTTTTGAAAACCTTTAGTACATTTTTAGAGGAACTTACAGGATTGTGCATTCTGGGATTCTTTGAGTGATCAATTACTTTTTTTTCCTAAACATGATGCTGCTATGATTTTCAGGTTGCTGATGTTCATTTCTCTCTGATTTCCGACTTCAATCTTGTTCAGAAACTGGTCGTCTGGCTTGCTGGGTGTTGTATGTTGGAGATTGAATTGCAGCACTTGTTTATAAAGTGAAAGATTGTTTTTCTTTGAGGGGGAAACTAAATAAAAATGTGAATGAGACATGAATTGTCAGTATTCCAGTGAAATTTGAAAGATGTACATTCGTGTCTTTATAATAAAGTCTTGCTAAAACACAATCAGTCCAAAGAAAAGTTTATTCCTACAAAAATCCTAAACTAAACTGTTAGTTTGGCTGTGTTCGTGCCTTCAGCAGAGCTCATGCAGTTTAAAACAAATTCTACAGAACTGGTTTGACTGGTTTTAAAGGGTAAACAGAGCCAAAGTAACAAGTGTTTGATCAATATTGATTATAACAAAAGCTCTGACCTGCAGATTTGTTGGGAACCATAAATGGTAGCAAATACAACTGAATAGTAACACTGATTTGTAAATAAAGCTTTTTTATTCAGGGAATTTTTAACAAGAGATTTCTCACACTGTGTTCATACTGTACACACACCCACCCCCACATACACATCTACACATAAACACACACACACACACTTGGAAGCTGCCCAGTACAAACACAGAGTGATCTGTCGGTGTCTAAGAGGCTCCACTGTAGTAGTTAAATGATTAAACACAACAGATTCCCAGTAGAAGGTAGAGTTAATCTGTATCAATCAAGTTCAAATTAAACAGATAAAAAGATCTTTGACAGATGTGACCAACAGCTTACTGCTATATGAGGAAACAAGAGTTTCATAACAGAAGAAGCTAGTAGCTTATTGGCATGTGTGTCACATTTTATTGAACCTTCTTTTCAACATAAAGTTCTTTATGAGAAGATTTTAGACAAGTTTACACATCTACGGGGCCAAAGCCTCAAGCCAAACCTATCCCTAACTGTGACTGTTTCCCAATCACATGGTAAAACATGTGTTATGGTTTAGCTAGGTTTAGACACCAAAAGTAGTTCATTAGTTTAAACAGAACGATTGCAGTTTGGGGCGAAAATAAGTAGGCCAGCCTGAATTTGCGAAAAGCAAAAGTTTAATGAAATTAATCACAAAAAAAAAAGAAAATTGGATAAAAAGAATTTCATTTAGGTTGTTTTATGAAGAAGACAATTAACAGGTGGTAGTTTTATTCACCAACTAAAAGATTTACATTCATATTCTGTTTGAAATATTTAATAAGAAAATAAATACAAATCTAAAGTAAATGTTAGTTTTTTCTTAATATATTTTTCACTTTATAGAGTTGTTATCCCGTGTGGGATTTCTATTTGTCCTTGTAATTTCAAGACATTTTGTGCATTACAGACGCACATGCATCGAAACCACACAAAATCTAAACCAGCTAGATCTCATAAATGTGTGAATCTAAGTTGTCAGATTGAGGAATGCACTTTTAAATCTTCACATTTTTCAAGTCTCTGTGAACATTTAAAGTTGCATATTAGGGATGGGAAAAAGATTGCTTGTCCTTCCAGCGCTTGTCAGAAGCTCTTCAGTGTCAGATCTTCGTTCACCTCACACATAGGCAGGAAACATGCAAAGGACTCGGTAGCAGATGGAGGCATGGACAATGATAATGCAGGTGTGCATGATGATGCTGTTGTTATGGAAAATGATGACATGACAGAGACTGTTGAATTTCCTGAGGTTGGTGATTCTTTGGGTGATGTTGAGAAAGACAGAGATGTTTTTTCTTACCAATTTGGCCCTCTTTTACTTGAGAATGCAAGCAAAGATGCTTTTACCTGCTTCCACAATATCCACTCTGATAGAAGAGTTTCAAGAAGTATGCACAAATGCGATGTCACAGTTGTTTGTTAGACTTCGCGAAGAACTGTCAAAGCTTGAAATTCCTGATGAAAGGATTTGTAATAGCATAGATGGACTGTCAAAAGAAAACGTATTGAAGATGTATAATGAGGTCCTGTTCAGATCAGATACAAACCGGAAGACATATTTTAAGAAAAAATTCAGTTATGTTGAGCCTATACAGGTTCATCTTGGTTTTGATGCTTCTGGTAAAGAGCAGTTTTGCCAATAAGAGTGTCTTTCAGTGAAAGACACTCTTAAAGCCCTGTTGAACCTGCCATCCATGAGAGAGCAGTATAATGTGTCAAAAAGGCACCGACCAGAAGATCCAAATGTACTTGAGGATGTGAGGGATAATAATAATAATAATAATAATAATAATAATATATTGTTTTTTATAGCGCTTTTCTAGATGGTAAGAGATTCAAAGAAAACACCCTTTTACAAGAGTTACCTTCCTCAATCTCAGTTATCTTGTATCAAGATGCTCTTGAAGTTGTGAATCCTCTTGGATCTGGCAAGAAGAAACACAAACTCCTAGCTGTGTACATGACACTGGGTGAGATATTGCCTCATAACAGGTCATCCATTGACCCCATGCAGTTAGTCATGCTTTGCAGGGAGTCTGATTATCATTTTTTTTGGACAAGAGAAAGGGTTCTCCTCCCTTGTAAAAGACTTAAAAGACACTGAGCAATCTGGTATTACCTTGGAGACAGGTGAGACTGTGAAGGGTGTAGTAATTGCAATCGTAGGTGACAACCTGGGGTCGTATTCACTTGGAGGCTTCACAGAGAATTTCAGCAAAAGCAGAAACGTCTGTAGATACCAGAGAAAGATTTGCAAATGAACCTTCAGGCCCAGCAAGGACAACAGAAAACTACAGGAGCAGTGTGGAGAAGTTGTCTATGGGATCTGAAAACATTGTAGATGGAGTAAAATTTGACTCTGTTTTCAATTCGTTGGAGCATTTCCATGTCTGCCAACCAGGACTTCCGCCATGTCTTGGTCACGATCTCTTCGAGGGGATTGTGTCTCTAGATCTTCAAACTGTATCTAAAACATTTGTGGTATATGCTATATAGTTCAGATTCTTACCCATATAGTGGTACTGTATTTGCTGGTCCATGCAAGTGAAATACATCCACCAAGTCTGGTCGATTAACTCCTTCCCTGTCATGAGAGCTTCACCGGGAGTGTACTGCTCCAAAATGAATGAAGTAGGTACAGACCAGAAAACGACACGATTTTGATAGAAAGCTGAAAAATTATATTGAAGGATGTACAACAACACCCGTTTGTTTTGTTATCACTTTCAGCAGTCTTTTCAGCCCCCTGACTTTGAAAATGGTGGAACTATTTTCTGCCATAGCACTCCCACTGAATCCTCCTGTAGGTTGAATATGAGACCGGGCCGCTGCTGCATGGTGATACAGTGGCAGAAAATAGTTCTGCCTTTTTGGAAACCAGGGAACTGGAAAAAATACTGAAACTACTACAAGCATCAAGCAAGCAAGTTGTGCATCAAAACAATTTATCAGCTTAAAATCGTGTTGTTTTCCGGTCTGTACCTCATTTTGGAGCAGTACGCTCCCATGAAGCTCTTGTTCTCATGACAGTTGAGGAGTTAATGGACCAGACTTGGTGGATGTATTACACTAGCATGGAGCAGCACATAACACTACATGGGTAAGAATCCGAACCATCACTTTAACCAAGTTTTTCTCTTTGGCTGGGGTAATGTATGATGTCTTTTGTATTTACAGATTTTTTGTCAGGATAAATCCAGAGCAGAGTAAGTGCGCTTCCAAGGTCCAGGTGAGCAGAAGGAGTGGCAAGATGGTCCAACGAAAGAATGAGTCCCTCAATCCACATGTGGCATCATTTATCAGGGACTTCATTGAGTATGACTGGCAGAACAACTGATACTAGGTGAGACTGTTAATTCATTTTTACCTTGAATACCTTCCATTACTATAGAGTTCCAGTTTAGGTTTATTTATAGCCATTATTCACTGTTACACAGAACACAGGGAGGTGGGAGTGTGTGTGTGTGTCTGTGTGTGTGTGTGTGTGTGTGTGTGTGTGTGTGTGTGTGTGTGTTCTGCTGTGTATGCTTCTGTCCTTTTATGTAGTGTTGTAAGTAGTAAAAGCATATTGTGGTATTTCTTATGGGTATAGCAAGGAGTCAACAAAAATGGTCAGAGCCATCAGTCTTGCCTATACATTTCTACATCAGTAACTAATTCCATTGTGTCCTTCCACTGCAAGCAAGAAGACTCCAGTATCCAGTTCAGGATCAAGAGTACAGTTCGGGATGAAGAATACAGTTCAGGAAGCAGTAAGCAGCTGTTTAAGCTGTCGACATTTTGCGGCAGATTAAAACAGACTCCTCATTACTCCACACTGATCTGATTTCCTCACATTAATACATGAAACAAACAGAATGTAATATTCCCATTTTGTGTTCTCTGTTTTCAACATTGTTTTTCACTGTTTGAGGTTCAACTGGCGCTCTTTTAAATTAACGTCATCCTGTTGCGCCGTCTTCTTCTGCAATATAGTATAATGGTTTTATATATATTAATGGCTTGTATCGATGAACCAACTCCCAATGAGCGCATAACGGTAGTGGATGGAAACAAGAACAAGCATTCATTAGCATTTTCTTTGGTTGAATTTCTTTAAATTTGGTTCAGATTTGCATTACATTTGGATGGAAACCCATGAAATGTTTTATGACAAAAACAGTGTCTTCATTTTACAGTATGTAATTACTTTACAGTTATTAATTTACATTATTAAAATGAATGCAGTAATGCTTGTTACAGTAGTCTTCTGTTTGTTGTGATAAGAAATACAGCACCATATTACAGTACTGTGATTATTACTGTAATAACAATTACAGTATTTTACAGGTACTGTGATTGAATATACAGTAAACATACTTACTTACTTGCTAATTGCTGCCAGCCAGTTAATGTACATTTCACAGTGTTCTTGTAACAGTATAACTTTTAGATTTTCAACAAAATTGTTATGCAACAATTACATATGAGCACTGTCAGTGGCGTAAACAATAACTTGAGTATCAGGTAACTATATGACAGCACAGTCATCTTCTAAGCTTGAACATTTTAAGTTAATACATTCCGATAAACATAATTGGAATAAAATAAATGTACATGAAACCCCTCAATATAAACTGTCAAGCATGTAAACAACATGTAACACAGCCATTGCTTTCTGAGGGATTCAAGGACGACTTCTGATTCAATATGGAAACCCAAACAGATGCCACCATGCTCTTTCTCTGTTTAAAGACTCTCTACTTCCTG